CCTAAAATCATGCAGGTTTTTCGCTTATAACTTTTTTTCCGTTCATTTCCACGAGAAAACAGTAAGATATTTTTTTCGTCTTCAAAAGACCTACAAAACTAGCCCTCGAGCGAATATTGATTAGATCAAAAGTTATAAACAGAAGAAGTTTATTTATGACTTTTAAATTAAACATTTATAAACTGGGTTATTATTACTTGGACGTTTTGGCATCGCATCCTCCCATTCCTTATCACTGTCTAATAACTCACACGAAATCTGGAATCGAACGACAGCGAGTCCGAAGAAAATGACGATAATATTCAGTCCTGCCGTTAAAAAAGCGAAATTCGCTTGAAAATTTGACAGTCTGTAACTCCGTTGTTTTTCAACTTAACTTAAAGCTCTTTTCATGAGTTTTCCGAATATGTAATAATATGTAACTATATCACTCGCGTGCGTCGTATATTTCATTTTGCAACTAAATCTAAAAAATTTAAAAAAATTCCAGATTGCAAATTTGAAATTAAAAAAAATGATAGATTTCAATGTATTATTATGAAATCTACCATGAAAAAAATCAGTGCGATTGTGGAAGATGCTCGGGATCGTCCAGACTAATAATTAGTTAATTTGTTTATAAGGTCATAACTTGTAAACTATTTAACTTACCGATTCCAGATTTTGTGCGAGTTATTAGACAGTGATAAGGAATGGGAATAATAACGCAGTTTATAAATGTTTAATACAAAGGTCATAAATAAACTTCTGTTTATAACTTTTGATCTAATCAATATTTTTTGATGCTTGAAGGCTAGTTTAGTAGACTGCTTTCTTGTAGAAATGAACGGAAAAAGTTATAAGCGAAAAATGTGAATTTACGTAAAAATTATACAATTAACCACCCTGTAAACAATCCTCCCTCCATTTTTATGACTGGGGAAACTAATATGTTATTGTACATAATAGCTTGCCGAAACAAAAAGTCGCGTCCAACTCTATATTTCCTGGCCCATATGATTCTTAGGGGAGATGTTTCATTCTTAACATGTTCAATGTGTAAATGCAGTTCACCATATTTGAACGATAATATGCATCGCCACTATGTGTACACGTGCTCTATTTATCAGTTATTTCTTGAACAACAATGGAATTTCTATCATCTTTTATTTATAATTCTTTTATGTATTATTTAAAAGAAGCACCGCAAGACTGATTTTATAAGGCTGTTGGAAATTACAAGGGCGCTTTGATTATCCTACGAATATTACAAACGTCAATGAAATTGTTGCATTGTTTCCAAGGCTGACTTGATAAAGAAACGCATTTCTATGGATCAATCCCGAGATTAAACAAAACAATGTGTCTTAACTTCCTTTTGAAAGTAGTTAATCCGATTTTTATCGATCTGGGTGCCGGTAGGATAATTCCCCATAATTACAAGGATACATACATTCACCTGACGGCTTAAAAAATGAACCTATTAATATTCAAAGGCAAATGACAAACGACAAAATTACCTACTCATTATACCGAGCTCGCATATTTCAATACACGAGAGTAATTGCAGTTTCCTCGTCGCGATTATATTTAGATTTAAAAAAGTACCACTGCCTGTCTATAAATTGCTTCAATTCAGTTGCCATGCGTTCGCCTTTGGGCAATATAAGTTAATATTGAATATAAATGATATGGGTGAAGGTGTAATTATATTGTTATGCATGCTTTCCACGATTATTAATTTCCAAGTAGAATGGAGAAGCGCGTATAGCATAAAAAGCGACAAATATGTATATTTAGGATGTCATGGCCAGAGGTGTTTTCATCACAATGATATACCACGACGATGTCCTACATTTTTAAAGAAACCGTCAGATACTTTGTTATACATAGACACACAGCGTATTCTACTTAAAGACTAGCCACCCTCGTAACTTTTTTATTTATTGACCGGTTTTGGAAAATATTTTTTTCTTCAGATAGAACTCAGGAAGCGTAACATTCAATAAACATTAGAAACGTTTCTATACCAATATTGATAACACCAGTGTGTTTCACATAATTAAAGAGGTTTTTAGGTATTTGTTAATAGTAAAAAAAACAATATTTAAATGTGTTTGATAAAATTGCAGTTCTTAGATCTTATTGGAATACGTCAATAAAATATTTAGGGGTAAGTATATTTAGACAAAATTATCATAGGAATAACACTGATAATTAAAAATGTATACCTCCTTCGTAGTCTGAAGTATCACCATAACTTTGAAAACAACTTATCACAGCCTTATACATTCTGTATCATTATTAATATAAATTTTGATATGTGATCATTTTTTATAATTCTATCATTTTTAGAAAGTTCAAACTTGATTTTCTAAAATTTTTCAAATAGAACACCCTGTATTTTATTATTATTATTATTATTATTATTCACATATCAGTCCACTTCAACTTTTATTAATATATTCTACACCTAAAGTTGTTAGTTTTTAAGATATAGCAACATTTCTGGAAAAACACAATTTTTATTATTTTCGGTCGCACGAAATGGCTTTGGAAAAAACTGTCACATTATGTCAACTTGTCACTTCATAATTTATCATTCCCTTTTGAGTTAATTTTATTACTTAATATTTATTTGTGGTATTCTATAAAATAATAAAAATTAAGTTTTTTCAAAAATGTCGCTATATCTTAAAAACTAACAATTTTAGATATATAACATGCTTAATAAGTGTTGAAGTAGGCCGATATGTGGATAAAATAGAACAATAAAATGCAGGGTGTTCCATTTGAAAAATTTTAGGAAATCAAGTTTGAACTTTCTAAAAATGATCGTATTATAAAAAATGACCTGTATAAAATATCGATATTAGCTAATACAGGAGCCTTTGTCTAACATTTGCCTATAACTCTGTCTAATTATTTTGTTCCAAGTGTTAGTAGTTGAAAGTTAATGCAACTTCTTAGAAGTCATGTTTTTTCTAAATTCGAAGAATTTTCTACATAACTTGGCAACCCCGCACTAAAATGATAAACTGTTTATATTGCCATATACAGAATTTTCTCGGAAATGCATATGTTTAAACATATACAGGGTGTTCCATTTAAAAAATATAATATTTGGCGTGTCCCGTTTTTACTCATCGCCCTGTATGTTTCAAATTAATTGTGTAGTTTAGGTTTCTTTATTCTGTAACATCGTATACTTTATACAGGATGTTTGTGAATTAGTGCGAAATATTGTAGGGGGTGGTTGCCGAAGTTATTTTGTGAAAAAAAGTTTATATATAAACGTAGGTCGAAATATGTTTCGTTTCCGAGATACAGTGTTTAAATTTTAATTTTTTATTTATTTTTATTAAGTATTTCAAAGAGTTTTAAAGATATTGACACGAAATTTGAAAAACGCTTCGAAGGGATATAAATGTGCATTTTTTGGGGTGATCCGAATATTTCTACTTGCACCAGTGGCGTTAGTGCGAGAATGCTACAACATTTTTTAATAAAAAAAAATGGTACCTACGTCACTAACTTTTTCCAGTTTTGATATATTTTTTAGAAATCCGCCATCAATTCTGAATGAAATTGGTCTCTTCAATTTTTTAGGATGCACCTTTTTTGAGGAAAAAAATAAAACATATTATTTTAGTGCAAGTTGTGTATTTTTAATTTCTATTGATACATTATCTAGTAGGTTGCTGTCAATATTTCTAAATAAAATACAACCATCAAATTACGAGACATTTCTTTAAAACTCTTTGAAGTAATTAATAAAAATAAATAAAAAATAAAAATTTGAACACCTTGTATCTCAGAAAAGAAGCATATTTCGACCAACGTTTATATGAACTTTTTTTCACAAAGTAACGTCGGCAACCACCCTCCAAAATATTTCGCACTTATTTACAAACATCCTGTATAAAATATACGATGTTACTCAAATAGTACTAATAAAATTGATTTCCAGTTAAACGAATGAATTATCGAAAATTGTGAAATATGGAGCTCTTATCCATTTCTGCAAATAAATAAGTACAAAACATTTTTTTCCAAAACAGTAATCTTTCATTCATGTCTTCTTAAATTGATGCCCAATTGTTTTTCTGATTACATATTCTGACTCCACAAGACATTTACATAAATCTACACTTTAAATTGCAAAAATTGCAGTAATTTGCAATAAAAAGAGACCATTTACATTATTTGTTACCAGGTGACCTAAAAATATATATTTTAGACTCGATTGAAGAACTGCAAAAATTGGGCCTTACAAGTGTGTTTCAAGTCCTGAGAATAAATTGATCGGAGTTTTTTCTTTAAAAAATCCTTCATAATTATAAAAAACAGAAGATATTTTTGAGTCTAAGACATAACATTATTTAATATAGATATAAGGTAGCTAGTTTTTAAACAGAACACTTGATATAAATTAATATATTCATTATTGATTTATTTATGTGTATACTTATGTTGTTCCGATTCTTTTAATTTACGAATTGTTTAATATTTTTTTAACGAAATTTTAAACAAAATCAAAATCAAAGGTCTTATTCAACAATAATCGCATTTGCTTTGAAAATTTTATTTATTTTTTTTCAGTAAAGCTTTCACACGTAAATAACATTTTCTGTGAATTTCTAAATTTTACATTATTTTTTATAACGGAAAAGTTGATTTCATCGTAAACTAGATGGTGATGATGATAAAATGTTTCATTTATCATAATTTATATCACTAATTTGACTTAACAATATAATCTTCTTTATCATGCCTAATATCACATTACACTTGTAATAAAACAAAATAAGAGTCAAGATAAAAGAAGTTCAATCTAAACGAGTATATTTTTCTTTTTTCTTTTTTGATTTCCTAATAAAAATGCCCATACAACCATCCCTGACAATTACAAAAAGGATCAAGAAATTTTAAAAATAAAGACCATCCTTACCCAAAAAAAAATTGCAAGCCGCCAGAACGGACAGATATAAAATAAACAAAAAAAAAAAAGAATAACTCACCCCCGTAACTCATATCCGGTTCTGTGAAACCGACTGTGGGCATTAAATCTGGTGGGTCGCAGTATCCTGAGATAAATAAAATACAAACAGCAGCACTGCTTCGCAGCGAATGGTACTTCCAGCGCGCTTGTCACACAGTAGGCCGGCACCCAGTACGAAACAAATGAATGAGATGCTGTAAATGGAGGGACTGAGCCAGTCGTCCCGTTACCGAGGAGAAGAAACGAGACGAGGAACCGAAACCCACAAAAATGGCGCTGATAAACGCGAGGTCAAGGGGGGCGATCGAGATATTCGTGGATGACGTCGCCTGCGATAATGTACATGATAATGATACCTGATCCCGGTGACGTATTGTTGTTTAAATCCAATAATTAACAGGATACCAAAGGCAAGCGAGTAATTAAAGTAATTAATATTCGTTATCTTTTTTTCAGGTTTAAGTCGGCAGACGGAATTATATCCAAATTTTCATACAAATTCCGAAATTTCCCTCTTTCGTTTGTCCCCCATCAATACCCAATTTTTATGTAGTAGGTATGTTTTATTTACATACTCTGCTACTGAATGGAGGAGATCAGTAAAATTTGATATTAAAAATGTCAATCAATGTATACTGTACAATGTATGTATGTAAATGTACACTGAAAGAAATGCGCTTTATTCTTTATTAGATTCTAAATGACTATAACAACATTGCAATATTGTGACGGATAGAGATGACATACAAAATGCCAGATGTATGGTGGCTACAAGCCATATTTTTATTAAATTATTGTACCTGATACACAATGTTTATACTCCGAATGAAATGATAACAAAACAACTACAAACCATAAAACATAATTAAATGCTTGAATAACTTTCCTCTACTCAAAACGTAGTGCAATCGAATGAGTATGGAGATGAGTTTTTTCATAGTTGTGTATTTGTTATAAAAGTTCTAATATTTCTTTCAGTGTAATACGACCTTATGTTTTGAATGCAGTTAAAATTTTATGACCTATGACTAAAGTGAGAAAGGAATAATTATTGTATATATTACTTTTAAGTTAAATTGAAAACAAGTGCGATAAATCTTAAATATCAGCGAAATGCATCAACAAAAAATTCAAGAAAGTCGTATATATTATTATCCCGATTGTAATTTAGCTTAGCTGATGATGATAATACTCAATTGGGCACTGACAAATACAAATTTCGTAAAAAAATTAACGAAACCTTGTTTGTTAGGTCTTAAGAGACTTGATAAAGAAGTAGACGACGAAGGAAGAAAAGTTAAATATCCATATTATCCCACTTTATGGATGTTATTCCATATTTCAAGATAATATTTAGTACTTTATTTTAACTGTTTGAAATAATTCGATGAAGTTTCCAAATTTCCACATATATTTAAAACAACTTCAGTTTGCTGTTGTTGTCTTGTTCATATTAAATTATACATTAGTTTCTATTTTTGAATGATCACCATTTTCAAAATTTTTTGTCAATGTCTCCCATGTGAATAACAAACTATATAAAGAAGCGGCTATAAAATTTTCTCCAAATAGGAACCATTTTTATTTATAATTTTAGAAAAAACTATCCCCTGATAATTTTGGCTTGACTAAATAACAAATATTATAGGCTTTCCGAATTCAGTTGAACATATATAAAAACGCCTAGCAATAAAATTGAGGCGTTTTATAGGTGTCCCTAAAAAAGTGTTCTGCTAAAGGTAATAAAATTATAATAATTTACATATAATGTGTAGAAAATTTCTATAATTTGTAAATTTAGCCAACAACATATTATTTTTATTATTTATGTCCTCAATCAATACAATTTTATTATATTGATGGTAAATTTCGTTTTTTTCCGTTTCAAAAAGTCTCCAAAATACCATGTTGTAATAATATACAAAATATCCCTCTTTTATTTCTCCCTTTCGCAATTGTAATATCAATGATTAATAAAAGGTGCCTATAATAAATTAAAATTACCTGAATCACACCAAATTCCGCATTGCTGCACTGCACTGCTAGGCAATTTGTCAACCACCTGTCAACAACTGAGTTTTATTGCCCAGTCGTTCAATGCAGCTGTGTTTGTATTTCGTTTGCTCGCGCGCGCTTTCTTCAACTGGGCATATACATTTCTACCACCTACATAAATATTAAATTATGCACTATTTTGTCCATTTAAGCTTTGCTGATCTTATCCCAGACGTTATACAGTAACAATTAAATTTGAAAAATGTAAATGTTAATGGTATAAACTAATTCTTGATGACAGTCAACCAACAAACATACGAAATATGAGGTACACATAGACGCTGCAAAATACATAGAATTCAGCATCTTGGAAATAAATACCGATTACAATTGGAATTTGAAAAAATTACATGAAAATTTGAGAAATTCCATAAAAATTTAAGAAAATCCCTAATATTTTCTAATTTCCTAATAATTCCAGATTTCCGGATTATTACGCATCCTATTTTAAGAATCTCTGGCTGTCACAACTTCTTTTTTGTTGCGATGAAAACATATCATTAGTAGGACAGGTATATTTTCGGTTCACCCCGTAGGTGGACAGCTCTTGCGGTCAAGTTCATCGGACTGCATATCGGTCAATGTAAACATTGAGCAAATTAAACTAAAGAACAGTTCGCGATTTGCTTACCAAATCTGATCACTAACAGTCGCAAAATTGGACATTGACCAAAATTCCATCAACAATTCTCAAGAATCCTCTTCTACTATGCCGTGAAGGAGCTGTTACTTAGGCCCACATGATACAATTATTAAATCTTCACGCCCACGATAGGTGGTGCATCGGAAAAAGTCGATCAACTCATCCAAATAAGGAAGATCTCTATTTAACAGGACGTTCTTACCGTTTCCTTTAACGTCAGATGCAAACAAATTATTATAAGGCACGAACTCGTGTAGCCGACGTTATTTGTAAACTAAAACTAAGTATACAGGATGACCCAAGTTCTGTTTTTATAAATTATTTCTCAAAAAAATATCAATCTGTATCTGAAACACCATGTTTTCTATACAGAGCATTTTATAGGAAGGTATACAAGAAAATAAATTATATAATTTATTTAGGTATTTACGTTCTCAAAAATTTGAACGCTGAATGGTTCATTTGCTTCAGTGATTTCATTGACAGAAATAGAAGACGGCGCATATATGTACTTCACTTAAATTATTCACTTCACGTGATTCTCGTTAATTGAGTGCAACGAACATGCAATATTAAGCGGCAACGTAAGAATTAATAACAATTTGCTTCAATTATGAGCCAGTTGACGAAAATAGACTTCGCGATAGATCCGTTGGCCTTTGAGGCTATTGACGCTAGCATGAAAAGATAGTACTCGCTATAAAAGTTTTTTTGTGACTGTACAGTGTGTTCTACATCAAATAGTCAGAACTCTACGATGCGATGCAATTCTGCAAAAAAAATAAATATATAACAACAATATAATAATAACAACTGACTAACTTCTGTGACGCAGGTATTATTTAAATTTTTTCAGTTTGGAATGTGACAATTTTAGAGAAAAGAAACATTTATGTTGACCTTTAGGCAGATTTGATTGTTAAATTTTACAAGAAGGCTTAGGAATAACTGAAAAATCAAATCGCCACGTGAGATCAGAACTAGCCTATGTCCATTTTAAAATAGGACTTTTAACACCAAATTACTAAAAATATGCCCGTACTTGGAGCAGAAATATTATAACTCCATCTTAACCATTTGGTTATATTAATTACCGACGAAAACAGAATTATTCTGTCAGAGAAAAATATTTTATTTGGTCCAGAGTAAGCCTAAGTTTTTAAACTAATCTATGTGTTTTGTACTAGTGGACATAAGCTAGTTCTGATCTCAAGTGACGAAATATTTCTATTTCTTCAATGAAAATTATGAAAAATTTTCGAAGACCAATTTATTACTATTAAACTGATTAAAAAAGCAATGGTCGAAACCTATTATGCTCTAAACAAAGGTTGATAAAATACTACTAAACTAAAAATACCAAATAACTCATACAAAACCCCACAAAAAAGTTCTGTACCAGACATGAGTACATAGATCTTGTGAATTTTTTTATGCTGAATGCGAATCCGCATGGAGAGATAACGTCATATGCTCAAATGTGAAATACAGGGTGGCCAAATGAAAACGAAACAGAGCCATTTTCAGGAGCTGCGTCAAGATTATAGAAAAACGCTCAGACCCGTCGATTTTAGATTAAAGGGAGACATTCTTTGCTGGTATTTTTGACTCCGCAAGGGTAAGCATCACTCCAAAATATTTAAATGGCATTGGGGGTTGTGTAATATTTCTTTTGAAAGCTCTTACAATTATCTTTACAACAGACTTTAAATTTTATAATTCCGCCCAATGCTTTGAAAAAAATTTCCTTTTTAAAATTTAAATTATGTTTAGTTGCTTACTTATTACTTAGTTGATTAAATGTTCAAACTGATGACCGCCCGCTTCCATACAAGAATAAAGATTTTGTTCGAAACGTTCGCGCACATTCCGAAGCATTTCCGGAGTGATTCGACGGCATTCGTCGACGATTCTTTGACGCAAATCTTCCAGCGACGCTGGCTGTGTTTTATAGATTTTACTTTTTAGGTATCCCCACAAAAAGAAATCAAGGGGCGATAAATCCGGTGATCGTGGAGGCCACTCAATGCTGCCTCTTCTCCCAATCCAATTCCGTAGAAAACGTTGGTCCAAATACTGACGGACAATTAACGCATAATGCGGAGGAGCACCGTCCTGTTGAAAAATCAAATGATCTTCATCATACTCTGGAACATTTTCAATAATATCAGTCAAGGCAGGGTCAATAGCGTCTTCCAGTAATTGCAAATACATTTGGCCAGTCAAATTACCAGGTAGAAAAAAAGGACCCACCAGCCGGTCACCGAAAATTCCAGCCCATACATTTAATTTTTCCGGTTGCTGTGTATGCACCTCGTGAAAAACTCTTGGGTTTGAATCGGACCAATAGCGGCAATTGTGACGATTTACCGTCCCGTTCAAGAAAAAACTGCATTCATCAGAAAAACAGATGTTAAAAAGGAACTGTGGATCGTTCCCTGCTCGCTCACTCATTATTTCGCAAAATTGCAAACGGCGGTCATAATCATCCTCATGAAGTTCCTGGACTAAATGTATTTTGTATGGATGGAATTTATTCTTCTTCAAAATGGT